CTCTGTTCTTTTTCATGACACTATTCAATTTAATGTCCACTACGGATCATTGGATAGACCAATGGAGGATGTAATAGAAGCTGCCAAATTAGCAGATCTTGATGCATCAATTCAAACATGGCCACAGGGCTATGAGACTCAAGTTGGAGAGAGAGGGCTGAAATTGTCAGGTGGAGAGAAGCAACGTGTTGCTATTGCTCGAGCAATTTTGAAGAACTCTCCAATTTTAATTCTTGATGAAGCGACATCATCGCTAGATTCCATAACAGAGCAGGTAAGTTTATCCTTTGTCTTCATGCGCCATGTCTAAGATTTGGACCTAATGTGATCCAGCTTTTATGATGAATTTCTACATTTCCTCTAGAACATTGTTGATGCTCTGAGGAGAGCTACCAAAGGGAGAACTTCAATTGCCATAGCTCATCGACTTTCAACTGTAATGGACTGTGATAATCTTTTAGTCATAGATAGTGGCCGATTGGCTGAGCAAGGGACACACCATGAACTTGTTTCCAATCCCAAGTCAATATATGCTCGTTTATGGGCAACCCAGCAGGGCCTTAACATGAAACAACTATAAAGTATCTACTGTGATAGTGTTGTCTATATTGCTCTGTTTGGCTAGCATTTACTCTGCACTGTGATGTGTTCCTGATACATGTACACTTGGAACCCAAGTGACATTTGTTCTCATGTACATTTGTAAATATCCTGAATATTAATTACCCTGTAAAATTTACTCATGTTAACAAAAAACAATTGTCAAGATGAATAAAGTATTCTTTCAGATTGAGGAATTGGCTGGTCATTTTCATTGAACATTTCAATCATAAAATTTCATAACCACTTTAATCCTCAAAAGCAGTAATGGCAGTATTTTAGGTGCATATTTACATCTACATTGCTGACAACTGGAATCTTGATTTTGAACTTTAACAGGTTATTTCAACATCTAAAATCAGTTTCTTTGTTTTTTCATGAACTCCAAATAAATTTTGCATTGAGAGAAAACCATAGATTTGAGGATAAAAACCTATGATCAATAATTTCATAAGGGACTAATTTAGGAGGATTAAGAAATGCAGGAGAAAATTAGGCAGCAGCCCGTACAAGTTCTTGACCAACTTCCACGGCAATTTCTGCCTCTGCCTTTTCAACTGCTGATGATGCTGATGCCAGTTGGCTCTGAGCTTTGGATAGTACATCCTGGCATGCACTCCTGTCCAATTCATCAACAAGGCAAGCTTCCTCAGCAAGGACTTGCACAGATGAGTCATCATTGATAGTTACCTGAAGAGAACAAAATAAATTGTGTGCAAAAATCAACTTAGACATTTTTGGACGCAAGTTTTCCTTGCTTTGTCTGATAATGAAAACTTACAGTTCCACTAGATACAAAAACTTCCTTCTTGCTTCCATCAGCTTCATATACAGTGACAACTCCGGGTTTAAGAACAGCAAGAGTTGGAACATGGTTCGGCAGAATACCAAAGCTTCCGCTGAAAGATGGGACATCTACCTGCTTCACATTAGCTCCAACATAATATACCTAGAAAGCAGATAAGTCTTGTGAAACTGTGCGAGGGAAGACAGAAGACAAATTACTATAATTCAATAACAATTACTTCTACCAACCTGGTTGGCTGCAGCGAATGTGAAAGACATTTCATCTGCATATCCTCGCTTAGTGGTGACAACTGGGCGACTGCTGGACAGCAGTCGCATAGCGGGGCGAAATGAACGGGCAAGGGCAGCCATTTTAGCTGGAAAAGATACAAAAATTAAAAATTGATGAAGCTAAAAAAGTTACCTTGAGTCTGCCTACAGCACGACTGGAGGACTTCTTGTTCAATGTGATGAGGCTATCGGTAAGTAATACGAAAACCGATAACAGGAAAATGGTAACAATCAAAGGAGTGATCAAATCACCAAATTATGCCAGACTACAACAGGGTACTTCATAAACGAAACAATTAGAAGATAATAGAGGAGCAGAGAATGAACAGAGAATGAACATAGCCTAACAATTTACAGAAAGCAAATGAACGATTTGTGTGATCTCTGAAGTTTAAAAATGACATCGAGCAACCTAGGTTGTGATTGCGATAATATTGTCAATTCACCGAATGAATTTTAACCAAACGATTAATATTTCTGAGCGTAATCTAAGAATTAAAGATTTTTACCCTTTCTGTAACCTCGGAAGGCGATCTCTTGGCAGACGGAACGACGGAACACGAGAGGAGAGACAGACGAAAAGTGGCAAGTTGCGATCCGATGACCTGATCAAAGTATGAGAAATTTTCTTACTCAGAGTGGAAAACGTGAAGTTTTCTAATTATCGATATTTGTTTATTGCTGGTATAACCCGCTGAAAGTTTCTTTAAAATTAAAGTCCATTCCGTTCCATATGAACCAAAGTTCAAGTTTGAATAATGCTTTATTTCATTTCCTCACCTCTCTTCACCCCCCCCCCCTCTCTTTTCGCAAACCCGCCATTTCCCGCCATGATTTTGATTTCATGAGTGATGGTTGCTGAGGTTTAAGAAAGGGCGGCTCTTTCTCAGAGACGGTGTGAAAGTAAACAGTGTTTTAGCTATAGTAGATTGAGGAATGGCTGCTGATATTTATTTCTATTTCCACTCCGTCCCTTCTGTCACTTGTTTGTTTGGTCATGAGGGTTAAATTAACTTGAGCGAGTGCTGCGACCCTCTCCGCTATATCTGTCATCACATTGAGGCAGGGTTGTTAGGTGGTATTCAAAAAAATAACAACTGTATCATTTCAAAAGTTTGGTTTTACTGTATCATAGCAGCACAATCAATTAGTCTGAGATTGTGAAGTCTGAATGCTGTCTTCACATACATTATATTGGTTTGATGAATCTCTCGAGTTTAAGAGCAATTGCTATACAGAATGGAAGCTATCTTACATTAAATCTGTTTGAATACAAGTAATTCATAAGCGAAATTTTAAATTTTCAAAGTACAATCCAATGCAATTCATGATTTAATCCTGGATCATGGTTCACAATTAACAAGATGACTCTTCACACACCTCTTTACTGCCACCCTGATGACTCTCTCTCATGGCAGGACTATACTTCCAGACAGTGATGACTTCACGCAGAAAATCTAGAGCAGGTTTGTTTATAGGCATTATCAGTCTCCATATATATACATATGTATACATACGTATTTGGCACAATTCAAAAAGATGTATGCAAATCTACCTTGAAGACTACATCCTATATCCATTTAAGTAATTGATATATTTAATTTGATTTTGAATAGATTATAAATCTTTAATATTAAATGTCATAAGAGAAAATTTTTATTCTGGAAACAAAACGATTTGTGGTTCAAATAGGATGTTCAGAGGTGGAATTATGCTTATACTCAAGAATTTGGAAAGGAACTTGTTCTCAAAATTCAGTCAGGTTTAACATAGATCTTGCACAATTTAAATCGTAACAATAGCAACAATAAAATTGAATGCATTGTATTGGTAATAAACACAACACAAAATAACTACATCAGCAACAACATGTACAGTAATATAATACCACAATAACTTATTTCAATTATTTTAAAGATGCACTTTTGCACACGAAACTTTACATAATTACACATACAACATTGACTTGAATAAATTACTTCAACAAAATCTACAGATACATTTGTACACAAATATAGCAAAGCCTGCTCAGGCATCCTGCAGTTGAGTGATGTTACATAATGACCCCTATCATAGTTCCATTAGGGCTGCCACAGTCGCATCCTCAATTAAAGCACTGGCAATTTATTTTAAACAATTACATTCTTTTACAATGATGAAGTATTATGTACAAAAGAAGGCCTATGAAAATTTCCTAGGTAAAATTTAGGTCCTTTTATTCTTAAATCAAAGAGAATGAATTAAGCAGTAACAAACTGTTTGGTAACATTTCCTAGATGAAATTCTTGTTTGTTTGAGCAAATAGAAGACATGCTGCAAACGGTGCAAATGTGTATTGAAAGCTGAAAGCTTTTTAAAGCATTAAAGCATTACATCTTAAACGTGAAATAGAACAGTCCCCTTATTGTTACTATGGGAGAAGCATAACAAAATTGTTTCAATTGTTCTTTCTTGTCATGTGTAATTTAAATTGCTGCATTATTAAAAGTCAAATACAAACTAACCCGGAAATTATCACAACCGTGTCAGCACAATGTAAATTACCTAATTGGCAAACTGTTGGGAGTGTTTGGTGGGGGATTTAAGATTTGACAAATCTTTTGTGTTTTATTTTATGTGGCAAGGGACTGGTGTCAGTACTTTTACTGACGACGATTGTTTCCTATCAGGACTCTTTCTCGGCTATCTTCCCTGGATGTGCTTTCTCGTCGTGGGGGGGAATTCCCGTTAGCCGAAAGTCTGGACTTCACTCTACTTCTCTTTAACTTTGCCATGTCCTCATTAAATACATCTCCAGTACGTAAAGCAGATATCAAGTCATCAAACTCTCCTTTAGCTGTATCTCCACCTCCATTGACAACTTCGCCTGCTTCTTTGTTATTATTCTTTCCTAATCCAACTTTGGACAGGAGACCAACCTCCCTGCTGTTTTTACGATCCATTGTTCGTTTTTTCAGCTGCACAAAAAAAAAAAAAAAAAAAAAAAAAATTACATTAGAACTCCTAACAGGAAAATTACATTCAATAATTAAATGTTTCAGAATAAAATTGAATTACCTCCGCTTCCTGTTTAACTCTTCTCTCCTCTTCTTCCTTTCTTCTGCGGAAATTTTCATTGTCTTGTCTAGCCTCATTAAGAGAAGTCATAAATGAGTCAAATATTGCAAAGAAATCATCAGGCTGAATAGTTGAATTGTCTTCTCCAAACAATCGGACAGCACGATCAAACTGTATGAGGACAGATTTAATATGTTGATTAGTAATCAGCACCTCAAAATTAACAGCAAGTAAAATCTCACATCACTTACTCTTGTTTTCATATCCTGGAAAAGATCTTCAAGCTCTGAGAAACGACATGTGGCAGAGGACAAGAACTCTTTCATAACTGGCAGAAAACGATCTGCAGGAGCACTATTTTGAGGCTGAGTCTGAGAGCGATGGAATTCCAATTCCCTTTCAACCTCTTTTAATCCCGTTCTCAAGGCTGACATGTCTTTCTCTAATTCTGCCAAACTATTGAGTAGGAACAGAATTTGTAATAAGTACAAAGATGGTAAAAGATCAAAACTGAGGGCATAATTAAAATTGTTGCTAATGATAATTACCTCACTTTTGATGCCTCCCTTGCATGTGGGATATCTTCTTCTAATTTCAAAATATCTTTAAACTAAAGAAAGATTTGATTTATTGATTGACAGCAAAAATTAAAGTAAACAGCAGTAGTTAATTGAAAAAAAGTGTAACACACATACCTTTTTTCCCAAAATGTGGACAAGATAATGTAATAAGCTTGTTCCTTTAACAGCACTTGATTTAGTATCATGCAGCCTATTAAGAGATGCCAGTCTGAAACCCCAGGCATTACCCCGAGCTCCTCTGTTCATATAATTTCCTAATGCAAGAACAAGTTCCAGCAGTCGACGAAGTCGACGCGATCTGGCCACTTCTCGTGATGCCTCCATAACTGCTCGTATTCTAGGTTCAACTTCTCCAACAGCAACACTAAACCGCTTTTTGTAGTGTAAGCTTCGAAGACGCTGCTCATAATGAGGTATCCTGCAAGTTAAATGATGGATAGAATTATTGAAAAAAAGTTATTCAGGGATTAATTATGCATTTTGCTTGAGGAAAAATTAGATTAAAACTCACTTTGCAATTTCATACAAAAATCTATCAGCACGGGCTAAGCTATCTATTTCTTCACTGTGCTCCTCCAACAAAGCAGCCTCTTCAACACTTGGTGTAAATTTAAGTAATTGTTCAACCATGTCAATTGGTAGTTGATCGCGACTATCCATACTCAAGATAGCCCTAAAACAGTGAGAACAGGATAACTCAGTGCAAATTACCAAGCAAATAGTATACATTAGAAAAATTCAGTATGAAAGGTTACATACTTGCAGATATCTTCATCTGACATTTTGAGCTTAGATAACAAAATGGTACAGTTCTGCGCCCTACGCGCATCTATCACAGATAATATTTTGGTTCGAGCTTTTCCTACTTGCCGAAGATCCTCTACAGATCCATCATTCTAAAACAGAAATTTTAAATTTTTTGATGTTGAGACAGTTGTTTGAATTTTAACCAAATCAACTAAATAGGAGTGTTCTATAAAACTTACAGCGACTCCGTTTTTCTGATAAGCACAAAACAGCTTGTCAATGTTTTCAAGTTCCATAGCTGTGTAAAGCTTAGTGTCATCAAGCTCTGACCAAATTGTGCCAACAACCTAAATAAAAATTTAAGGGGGGAATATTCATGAAAAGAGAGCAAATATAAAAACATTTTAAAAGTGTAATAAAAATGATCAAGTACTCTTATTACCTTTGCATCAGGTAACTTAGACCAATTAAACGATTTAAGTGGATTAGCTGGCTGTGGAACATTTTTGTTTTTGGCCAGAGGTGGAACCATTGGTGGTGGAGCACAAGCAGGAACTGGTGGAGGAGGCATGCCAGGAACTGGAGGTGGAGGAGGAGGGGCTACCATTGCCATTGGTGGAGGGGGAGGAGGTTTCACAACTGCCTCAGTTTTCCTACTCATACTCAAAGTATCTGATATAATATCAGTATTTAAGCTGAGAACCTGAAATAAAAATGTAAACGCATTGCAGACACATACTATAGTACTCCTGCTATAAGATGCAAAAGCTTTTAACATACCTTTGCATCATCCGGCAGACTACCAGAACTGACAAGTTGCTCTAAGCGATGCCTCTCTCCACGCTCACAGTTGGCTTGATGCTCTAGTTGAATGTTTCTATCTTCAAGTTCTGAAACACGTGCTTTCATCTCCAAGTGAGCAGCTGTCTCTTTCTCGAGTCTTTCTTTAACACGTGAAAGACTTGCTTCCATGTCTTCCTGCAGACAAAATTTAGACAATAAAAGGAAAATTAGTATGTGGCCTCAAATTCTTTTCTAGTAACAGTTCAAATAGATGGTATACCTTTTCCTGAGTTCTTAGATCTAGTTCTTGTTCTTTTTTGGCCAGTTTAGAAGCTATTTCATTGTTCTCTTTTTCTAGTTCTTCAGCTTTGGTTCGTGCAGCTACTAGCTCCTCTTCTTTTGCTAGTCTGAATAGGAAATCAATTTCACACATTAGATAAGCCACAAATTTTACAGAATCCTAAATTTGAGCATTAAAATACCGTACTTACAAGTGAACAATCTCTTTAACATTAATGTCAAGGGGAGAAACATCAGGATTTTCACCACTCTCACCCTGCAGCACAATTTGTTGTGCCACTCTATCAAGGAGAAGCCAATGTTGAGGGTGTGATCCATAATCAACTGCAAATTTGACATAAAGTTAATATGAGTTAAAAGAACCTGAGTATTCTGCAAACAATACCTGGCTTCCTTCTAAATTTTAGTTGGGGATGGAACTAAGAGGGACAGTAGGTAACTTACGAGGAAGAAGAATAAGATGATGCAGCAATGATAAGAGATGCGGATATGCAGCTGTATGACTCAATTTGCGTCGAAGTACCTCAAACATGCTACTGGCACTTTTTGTATCAACATGTTCCTGAAAATTCACATTTAAAAGAAGTTATAGAATTCTCATGAGTATATATTGATTTAATATTCAAAACTGTATTCTACTTACTTTCTCAAACTTCCGAGCTAATTCTTTTTCATCTTCATTTCTGACCATTTCAAAGAAGTCTAAATGCCTGGTATGAAGGAGAAATTAATGTGAAAAATATTGCATGGTCCATTAATAATATTATGAGAGCATCATTACCAGTCTTATTAACAAGTTATAGGCATAAATTAAATGATATTCATTTAAAATTTCAGGATTTGACAGTGATGAAAATACATCAAAGAAAAAACTGGTTGGTTAGTGGACTTTTTTGTGGTAAAACTATTGCACATATGTGGCAGCTACATGGAATACTCACTGGGGGCTATAAAGAGCAGGGGAATTTGGTGCTAGGCAAGCCACCCTCACAACAAGCAGTAGATATAATAATTAAAGAAAAGAGAAAGAAGACCAAAAAATGTCTTACCTATCCAGTGTTTCATTTTCATGGCTTCTTAACTTGTCAATTATAGGCTGAATTCCTAACATTAGAAATTCATAACGTAAATGAAGTCTAAACTCCAAATTATCTTGGCCAGGGCCATAGTTGAGAACTGCATTAACAAATGACATGATAGCAGTCTTCAAACTAACTTCGTCGCGATATATACCAGTGCTCCGGTCCAGGTCATTAACAATGCCCTGAGAAATTCAAGCATGAATAGATTAGATTAAGATAGAATAGATTAAGATTAAAAACATTAAAAAAGCAACAAAAAGACAACAACATACATTGAGAGGAAAGTAATTAATTGAATACATACTTGGAACCTAGTTCTTTCTGATACATATTTTTGATAATGAAGCATGGCTTCAAGTACTTTTCTGTGACCACCTGGTACAAGGCACACTGCTCCAAGAATTTCTAAAACCGCAACTTTTGTCTTTATATTTTCAGTACTTAGACTTTGAGCGATTATATCTATACCAGATGGATGAGCCAAAACATGAGCACGTCCATTCTGAATGGGCAGAAACAATGATCATCATTATGGTTACATATTGGGTAAGCAGAATAGCCTTTAAAATAAAATACTAAAAGAGAAGAAAAATTCTTTACCGAATTGTTCATTAAAGCTTTGAGACATCCTATTAGGGAGGTGTGAAGGGAGCTCTGTGCGGTATCATAGTCCATTGAGGACAGTAAATGCAGGAGGGATGCTAGGCCATCCAGCTCAACAAACCGTAGAACAAAGCTATGAGGTTGAGTGCGAAGGGCTGTTTTTAGACCATCCAGTTGACAGGTGGCAGTTCTCACTTCTTCACAGGCATCTCCCCCTGATATAGGGCTCTGAAAAAATGGCAGATTTGTAATGAATGAATGAATGAAATAATTAATTAATTTAATCAATACTAAGGCGTGTGATTGTGTTTGGATCACATTTGCAGCACTTACAGCAGAAAGCTGTTGTAGTCTTTCAAGATAGTGTTCGGGAAGCTGTGATAAGTCTGTTGAACCACCCTCCTGATCCTAAAAATAAATTAAAAACCACAAAAGATATTTTGCATTAGATACAAAGAAAGAGCACTTAAAACAATGTTTTTGGACCGATTATATATGTAGTTTTACCTTTTTCTTACTGCAATAAATCTGCCATTTCTTTTCTGATGGCAAACTAAGCATTGCAGCTTTGTTGGGTGCAGTGAGGTCCAACTCCTCCTGCACATTTAAGGAATAACAGAATGAAAATAACGATATGAAATCCATGTTAACACGTTCCCTGCGGAATGACTACTTTGTGGTCATGCTCCCATGTTAAATCATAGGGACCAAAAATGAGCCGCATGGAACGCGTTAAGGTAAATCAAGAGAGAAATCAAATAAAAAAAATAAATAAAAAATAATAATAAAGCAAACGTGACTTACCACAAGCTCGGCGAACTTTGCGTTGAGTTCATCCTCGGCGGGCATCGGCTGGGTGGGCGTAAGAGCCTGCAGCGAGAGAGTGCCCGTCTGGTCCACCACGCAGTACGTGATTTCTGGCGGCTCGTCATTCTGCGGAGAGAAAAATACATGAGTTCGATAAGGAGACTGAAGGCATATCCTCTGTAAAGGCGGGGGAGGGCGACGGCAGCCCGGAGGTCCCGGAGGGAAAGGGGGTCCTGTGTAACCAGCAGCCGTCACTTGCACTTTCCGTACCAAACCAGTTTTGCGATGGCCGGCGGCTCTCCCCCTCTCCCCCCTCCTCTCTCGCCGCTCGGCTGGAGCTGAGGCAGTCGATGGGCCGGGCGAGGCACGACAGTATCTGTGGTGTGCATGTGCATGTGTGGCCAAGGAAGAAGTTCCGAGTAAAGGCTTTGGCTTGCCGGGCTCAGAGAAGTAGCCGGTTCCGAAGTGGTTAAGGTCATATTTTACGCCGACCTCACTGGCTGAAAGTAGTGCGTTTTGCCTTTGCCTACGCAGCAGGCGTTTAGTTTAATTGGGATACAAGGAAAGGTGAGGTGGGGTAAGTCAATAACGTGGGCGATGAACGCCCTGGGATCCGAACCTGACCCGAGACTCTACACTAGGCCTCGGCGTGGAGGGCCGGGTCGCTACTCCACTCAACCGTCGTCGAAGCAACCCGCCAACGAGCCAAACGCCACGGCCAGAGGGAAGTCCCTCCCCACCTGCCGCGCCGAGTCGGGCTGGGCTGATGGAGGGTGATCGCTAGCCCAGCGTAAGCCAAACAAAATGCACGTGGGAAAGGGCAGTCTCAGTCTCTACTTCGCACTGCGGCCCTGCATCAGGCAGGACGGCGGTATGACAGTGGGCAGGCCAGGAGGGGCGGGAAGGGGGCGGGCCGAGGGCGTCGCACGCTCCCAGCCGGCCAGAGACCGACCGGCCGGCCACTTTCACGCTTGGTGGGGCGCGCACGGTCATCGCAGCGCGTCGGCTAGGAGTGTGGGGGAGGGGATGACGGCGGAGAGGACGTGGAACACACCCCTAAACACTCTAAAACCAAACATAGTTAGACGGCCCATCCGAAGACAAATCAGTGCACGCATTTCCCTCTCCTTTGCACTCCATAATTAAAGGCCGCTATGCGCCGCAGGATTCTTCTCAAAGAAAAGCAAAAGTCAATCAAAATTCGGAACCAGCCGCGCACGCGTGCATGCGGCACAGTCTAACAATAATCAATGACTGAAACTCGCTGCCCTGGCACCATCGCATGTGGCGAGGATTGCTCTCTCCAAACCAAATCGCGTCCCGCAGCAGCCGGACCAGCGGCAGCGCAGCGGGGCCCGGCGGGGCGGACCACACGGGTGCTTCCATTAATCACGGCCGCCCCCGCCGCCCCCGCCGCCCCCGCACAGCATTAGCCAATCCAATCTCAACTGAACGGGCCCTCCCTGTGGTCCCGAACCATATACAGAGCACATGCGGCGCACCGCACCACTCCGGCAGAGAGACACGCACCGAACCAGCCCGGGGGGGGGGGGGGGCACTGGGCATCCCCCTCACATGTAATGGTCCTTTGGTCTTCCCTCCTCACTCCTTTCCTCATTCGCACTCGATCACACGGGCCACACCCCAACAACTCTACTCCACACAAACGGGAGGGCTGTGTCAGTCTCACGCAACCGGAAACACATCAATAAAAACACCCCCCCCCCCCCGCATAGAGCTCTCAGTGCAGAGCAGAGCTCGTGTGTTTGGCGCGTGGGCGGGGCAGACAGAGGGGGAGGCGGAGGGAGCGGCGTGGGCCCTCGTTTATTGAGCTCTGCATTGCGTGCCGAGCTGAAGATGCCTCCACAGCAAACGTTTTGTCCGCGGCTCTAAACGGTTGCGTCACGTCGCTCCGCCTGCTCCGCCGCCGCCGCAACCGGAGAGTCTCGTCCCCTTCCTTCTTCGCGCGGCTCCAATAATCCCCACGATAGGTCCTCGTGATGCATTTTCTTTTCAGCCGTTTAAAGCACACGATAGCGGGTTGAATGCGCTCAAGCGAGACACACCAACAAACCATGCTCCACCAAAAAGAACGGGGAAGTGTGAGGAAGGAAGTCGAAGGAAATGGAGAAAGGGGAAGGGGGGGACTTCCCTCCTGATGGGATGAGCAGAGCCACCAGAGCAAGGAGCCCCGAGCCCCGGGCATTGCCAACAAAGCGTCTTGCGCTCGACCATTTAACGGGGCCTCGCACCGCCCGGCCCGCCTCCCCCGCCATGCTAAGCAGGCCCCTCCCCGCTGCAGCCGGCGGCGCCGCCCGGCGCCACTGCACCGGACTTGGCGCAAAGCCATTATGAAACCCTCGATAACCAACCGGCCGGGTCGGGCCGGGCCGGGCCGGGCTGGGCGGCCAGCCACATCCCTACACTCGATCCTGCCCGACTGCCATAAGCGGCCCTGCCTCATTCTGCGGTCCGCGCCACGCCACACCTCATGGCCCAGTGCCCGGCGCGGCGCCGGGAGCCAGCCGCGGGAGCCGCCCCCCTCCCCCCC